TGGCCGAAGTGGGGGCCACAGCCAAACAGCACCCCCTACAGGGGGATCACCTAGTGCCCCTCACCTGGGGCTGGTGGAATCACAGGATGGGTCTCAGTTTCCCTATAGGTAAAATGGAGACAATGCTCACCTTACAGAAAGTTTAGCTACCAGGCGGGGAGCGATTTCCTGGCCTGACTTCCTGGATGGTATGAGGAGAGAGGGAGGAAGAAACAACTGAACAGCAATAAAGGGTTTCTCTTATCCTCAGATCGCCATCTCTGCACCCAGACTTCATTTCCGGCTGTCACTCAAGGTCCCTGTTGGGCTCAGGACATGGCTTGCCTGTGGTTATGATGGACTCAGCCCTGGGACTTGAGAGGCAGGAAAGAGGCTGGGGTCCAGGCCCCTGCTCTGCCTTCTCTGGGTCTTGATTTTTCCATCTGTGCAGCATGGGGTTGGTTGGTTCCTAATTGCAGTGGCCACTGCCCCCGGGTGGGTGAGGTTCAGGGATGCCAGAGGTTCTTAAGTATGGGAGACAGCCCAGCACACCAGAGAATGTCCCAATGGTGGTGCCAATGGTGCCCCATTAAGAGGCACCAAGAAGGACACTGCAGGCCTGGCCCCATGTAGGGAAGACGTCATTAGTGTGAGTTGGACAGTCACAGGCTGCAAAGCCTTCCAAGGTTTCTGCCCCTCACTCCTCATGGGTGGGGAAGTAGAGGCCCAGACAGAGTGACTCGCCCAGAATCACACTGCTGGCAGAGCTGGGATTTGAACCCAGGTGCATCTGACCTCCTAGTTTTGCCTCTCTGGTCTCTTTCTCAATGTTGGTGCGATACTTGTGGCAGGAAAGTAGATGAGTGAATGTTTTCTGATTCATTAATATGTAGTCTTCCCAACCCTAGGAGCTGGGTGCTTTTATTATTCCCATTCTACAGGCAAGGAAGCTGAGGTCCAGAGAAGTTTAGACATGTGCCCGGGTCACACAGCAATCTATCCTCCAATGTCTCACAAAACTTGAGGATGCAAAAGGTGGCAGGGCCTTTTCTGACCATGGAGGGGCTGCCCACCAGATCAGTGGCCCTGCCAGCTCCCCTAGGGTCCCCAGTCCCCATCAGGGGCCATCCACTGCATTGGAAATGTGGAGCAAATTCTGTGACCTGGAGCTTCTGGCCACTTGGGCACCTAGCAGGCCTGGCTTCCAGCCACCACTTACGCCCAGCAATCGGCCCCTCTTTTCTCTGCTTCCTCAAGGTTTGTTTGGCAGCCTTGGATGAGAGAGGTCATCTTTGGAGCCAGGCAGCAGCTCCTCCTGCTCTTAGGCCAGCTCCCAGGGCAGATCCTCTCCCTTCTCCCTTGGCTAAGCTCAATGTCTGAAGTTCTTGCAGAGCCTTTTCGTCCCCTTACTCTACAACTATCTGTGGCTCCCATTGCCCACAGGAGGAAAGCTAAACTCCTAATACTGTGCTTTGAAATTTCATCTGCCTCCCCTGGGACCTTGTTAAAATTTGGGTTTGGATTTAGCAGGCCAGGGTGGGGCCTGAGCATTACTGACCAGTCTTGGTGATGCCCAGGCTGCTGGTTCTCGGACCACACTTGCAGGAGTGAGACCTCAGTAGATCCTTCATGACTTGGCTCCATCTCCACTTCCTGCCTGGCCTTCTCACTAGTCACATGGGATTTCGTTCATGGACTCACATCTGCAATGGCTTTTTCTTTTCTCGATATGTTCCTTCCCATCCTTCAAAGTCAGGCTCAAAAGCACCTCCTCAGTGGACCACCACCAGAGCTAGCTACTCATCTGCTCCCCTGGACCCCTTTACAAGCCCCTGAAATTCGGAGAGGCCCATATCAGCACCTTTAAGAACAGACCTCTTGGCCTTGCTGTGTGGCTCGGTTGGTTGGAGCATTGTCCAGTACACCAAAAGGTTGCAGGTTTGAATCCCGGTCAGGGCACATACCTAGGTTGCAGATTTGATCCTGGGTTGATGTTTCTCTCCCTCCCTCCCTCCCTCCCTCCCT